AATCTCAAATTTGCTAAGCCTCCCTCGACTCCTCCTTTAGTCAATCGTCTACCTCCTCTATTCGTGCCTCTTTCACCTTATTGTCACCACCGGTAATTGGCAACCTTATTCACATAATGCTAGTGGCTCTTCTCCAATGATGAATCACATCACTTAATGATTTTCATCCCAATTTATAATATTCATCATAGATCTATAATCTTCTCTCTTGTGACTCCATCATTGCCACTGTCCTCATTGCCATTGTCAGAAGAAGAGTCTTTTTTAGATCTTCTCTAACAACATATCAGATCATCACGATTATAAGTTGGTTCAAATCTTCATCTTATACTAGATCATCAATTGGTTCTGAATTTTTTTTTATTATAGCATCTTCTCAACATGTCTTCCATTTCTATATCTGATGCTCGAAGTTTTATTTCTTAGGAAATAATAGCTCATCTCACCTTATAGGACTTAAATCTATTAGTACAATAGCTCTGAATTCCCTTCAAACTATCCAAAGGTGACAACTACGCATCTTGACAAACATAATTCATCAACCTCCTATTTGGATATAATATTTTAGGTTATATCGATGACTCTCTTAGTTCTCCATCAGAAAATATCTAAATACCAAGAAAACATATCCCAACGGTAAATCTTGATTATAAGTTATGGCTACGACAAAATCATTTTATTCTACAAGTCATTCAAGCTTTAATTGGCTCTATAGCACCACTAATCTTTTCGTGCAACACTACAAAAGAAGTGTCTGTCCAAGTTATAAGCCACCCTTGGCAATATCTCTCGCACTCACATGTTAAGTCTTTTATCTACTATGATAAAAAAAAAAAAAAAGTTTTTGAGCTATCCATATTAAATCTTTTCAACAGATCTAAAGCATATTTAGTTTAACTAATAAAGATGTCATTACTCATTTGCTTAATTTGTAAGCTTGAGAAAAAGGTTAATTCTCCTATCAAACTCATTTCAAATTCGAGACTCGTGGTTTTAGCAAAAGATTCACAAAGAGATTTATTCATAGAACCGAAGATAATATCATCAACATAAATCTGAACAATGAGAAAATTATTTCTAAAATTCTTGATAAACAATGTAGTATCGACCTTGCCTTTTGTGAAATTATTTTTAATAAGAAAAGTACTAAGTCTATCATACCAAGCCCTTGGGGCTTGTTTTAAACCATAGAGAGCTTTAATTAATTTAAATACATGATTAGGGAGGCTATTATTTTCAAATCCGGGAGGTTGTTTAACATAAACTTCTTCAGAAATAAAGCCATTAAGAAAAGTGCTTTTAACATCCATTTTAGACAACTTAAAATTATTATTTAAGCGAGAAATACTATTGTTGATTATATATAAAATCTAAAAGTTATCACACATAACTTAGCTTTAATAACTCATATTCTTAGTAATGAAGAAGTCATTGTTCATAATATTAATGTCATAGACGATGAATATTAGGGACTAGCGATAATAATTTGGGCACGTGGCTCATCAATATTATTTGAAAAACTATATGATAATATGATTGATCATAAAAGATATATGAAACGAGAAGAGAATAAGACGAGACCAACTATTACAACTCAATTCAAGTACTATTTGTACTTGTCAGCCTTTTCGAAAATGGTAAAACCACCTAGGGTGATGGTAGTATCGTTAAAAATTTAAATTTTGTGATAGTTATACCGTTAGAATCCAAAATTATGATGTTAAATGTTACAATAGTAGTACCACCCAATATTAGTTATAGAATTGCTCGTATCTTAGAATTTTAGGAGATTTAAATTTTTGCCTCCATTTTAGAAGTTTTTTTGAGCTTACAAATACCCCACTTAGGCTTAGTTGATGGAGCATCCATTTTTGACTTTATAAGTGTTGTAGCTCTCTCTTTGAGTACTGTTTGAGTCTCTTCCTCCCTCTTAAGTTTAGTTGTGACACTAAATTATAAAAGAATTATAATCTCCTAAGCCTATAAAAAGAAAAAAAAATTTATAATATTCGTCCATTAGAAAGAAAATTGGTAGTGAAAACTAATAGTCTCAAAGGAAGAGAAATCGGAAGTGGATATATATTAGAAAGACCAAACCATTGTGAATCAGTTTGCATTCCTTCTCTTATCTATGACTTTTATTTGTGATTGTTTACTTATTATTAGTCACTTTACTCGTAAATCTTACTCACACTCAATATTTGATTAATCATGTTTTCGATACAGATTTTTTGATCTTGAAGTTGATTAAAATTTTCTATAGCACTAATTCACCTCCCTACAAACAAACATCGCTATGTTTCTCAATAAAGCTTACGACTTCTTTCCACTTTTATCTTCATGAATAATTTATGATGAATAAATAATTTATAATAATAATTTATAATTTATAATTATTAATAAAGTAATATTTATTTATGTGGCTCTTGATATACCTGTAAAAATTCAAGATGTGATAATAAAGGAAAGTTAGATAAAAGATATATACTTACAAATCATAGCTAAATAGGTAACTGAGATCAATTTTGACAAATAGAGGATAGTCTTTCTATTTTAGAAAGTCACTTGATAATAATATAAGTATTTGAGGAAGTTCATAAATTAAGATTTACCATTTATTCCAACAGTGCTAAAGTATTGTGAGATTTACATTAGAGATATCAATCATGGGGCAGGAAGAGAAATATAGGTGAGTGTGTCTCCCAATATTTATTTTATCAATAAAATCTAAGCATAATTACTTGTGGAAATATTATAGAAATAACTTAATGTTGAATAAAAGGGAGAGTATACTATTATGCAAACTATATATTAGACAAATCATTCGAAATCACAGAGTGTTGGTTATCATTTAAGTGAGATTTGAGGTTCACATCTAAATATAAGTTTTGAAGAAGCTCACAAAAAACTTTAGATACTTGATTAAAATTTAGTATAGTTTCTCGCACCCAAATTAATATTCAATATAAATGAATAATACAAACTTTTGAGGATATTTTAAGAGTATGTGCCTATGATTTAGGTAAGTTGCAATGTGCAAGTTGCAAGTTTTGCTTCTTGAGATAGGTAAAATAGCACTTTTGCTTGAGATTACAAGATAGCATTTCTTGCTTTTGAGATGAGCAAATTAATAAGTTTTGTCTCTCTTTGCGATATATACATTTGTAATTTTTGCTTCTCTTTAGATGTGCAAACTAGCAAAAAACAAATTTTTTGCTTCTTCTTGAAGTATGCAACCTATCTAGCAAGCTAGCAAAATTTGCTCCCCCTATGTAATTGTCAAATAGAAGGGAAGAATACAATGTTGGAAGATATAGATCACCTATATATTGGGATAACATTAGAAAATGAAAACTACGTGGATCATGATTTATTGAAAGAGATGCTAACATTATCTAAAGGAGCTTAAAATAAACTATATAGATGAAATTAGAGGGATTTTGACATTTGGAGATTATATCATTCTAAAAACATCTTCAACGAGAGTAGTTGCAAGGTTTAATCACACAAACAAATTAGCTCTCACGTTTAGGGATCCTTTTTGAAATTTTATAGGCATATGATCTCTAGCTTATCGATTGATCTTGGCCTTGTCTTTGTAGTACATGATATGTTAAATATTTCATATCTCGATGTTATGAAAATATATCAAGGATTTATCTTATTAGCGAGAAATAAGATAAATTTTGAAAACCTCTTAAGGAAATCAAAGTTTAGTAGTAATATCATTTAAATTAAGAAACCTATGAAGAATCAACGAACAAGGAATAAACTCGAGGGGCGGAATGTAATCATCATATATTTTTATTTATTTTCTAAGCTAAAATTTTTTTAATTAGTATTTGCTTATTATTATAATTTATTTCCTAGTAAGTGTATCCTATTTTATAAATAAATTTCAGCTACTAAAATTATTTCATAATATCAATAAACAAATTGAGTATGATATTATTAATTATTTATATATTAATTACGAAATAAAAAATTATGGATCATGCCATAAATGACTTCCCCTCACTTATTTAAGACAAATAGACTCTTCCCTCCCATTCAATCAATCTGAGGACGAGGAACGAAGGAGATAGAGCGGTGATCATCGTCGAGAGGAGTCGTAAATCCTCATTTTACCTCTTTATTTAAATTGAAAACACTTAATTTTATGCTTATAATTTTGGTCATAGTAGATCTAGCATTTCATGACTCCTACTAGAGCTTGGTTGTTGTTTTTCAAACAATTATCTATTTCTAAGAAAAACATTTGAATTTATGTTCTTCGATCATACATTTATATGCATTGTGGAAAAAAAAAAAGAATATCGTACATGAAATTTTAGTGATTTAGGTTCTTAGATCATATATTTATTTTTTGACACAATAAAATAATATATATTTATTAGCATATGCTTGAGCTAAAGGGTTGAAAGTTTCATACAATAATTAGCACAGCATATATTTGCATATTCATCAAAGTCATTGTGGCTAAGGTTCGTCATACCGTACCGTACTGACGTTTCGACCCGGACTCGGTACGATACGGTACTAGTGTACCGGGCGGTACATCAGGATGTACCGAGCGATACACTCTAGTGTATCGAACAATTTTATATTTTTTTTCATACTGTAGCATTATTACAGTATAGTACTGTAGCAGTATTACAGTATAGTACTGTAGCACTATAGCAGTGCTATAGTATAATACTATAGCAGTGTAGCGGTACCGGACGGTCCGCATACCGGTAACCTATCGGATCGGTACGTACCGTCCGATACGGACGATACGCTTCGGTACAATAGATCTTGAACGTGACATATTTATTTTATTAGTTATGTTGCTTTTGCTTCAAAGCTGTCGTCGCCGTTGGCGATGATGAACACTGCAACTTAAGACTCATATTACCGGCATGACTTCCATTGGTTTTCCTCTTGATTCTAACAGCCACAACTTTTCTGCTCCCATTCCGACTCTCTTATGATCTTGGAGCTCTCGAATTCGAGCCAGCATGTACGGGCGATCTGCATCTCAGCTTCTGAAGGAGCAAGCATCCTGTGAATCCGGTCAATTGACCGTCTTTAACGTAAGTCGTTCCTTGCCTCATCTTCATTCTGCTCCAGTTGCATGGTTGTGCCCTTCCTTGGCTAGCATAACACTACGGTTTTGAGACATTAGGAGATTTCAGGGTGGTGACCGCCGGTCTCCGATCAATTATTAGGTATTTAGTATATCTGACACCAAAAACTTGGATGTAGAACGTGGCATTCGACCAAGTTATCAAAGAGTGCGACGAACACCATCTGCAGCTCGAATCATTATTCAGGTACGTTCCAGTGGTCTTCCTTCTCGGAAATGTATAGTATCTCCGATGTCGCAGATGTGCACTCTGTTGAAGCCAGGAAACTGATGGAGCAGAAGTTGGATGTCCAAACAACCAGAAACGGAGATCATTTGGGTGCGTTTATCCATCACCATTCGTTGCTTCGCAATAAACGCTGCCTCATGGCTTACATGTAAGAATTTTCTCTCCCTCGAGATGGAAGTCCTTCTCGTACGAGCACCTCGGGTTTCATTTTTAAGATACCGCCGCTGATGGCCAGGCAAAACCGAGCAGAGATCGTCCGGAGCTTGAGATGGCAACTCGGCCCTGTGCTCCCCGAAGAAATAAAAGCAAAACTGAGTTATTCCGAGGGGGTGTACTTCGCGGATCACTCCAAAGCGATAGCGTCTTACATGTCAGAGATGGACATCGATTTGACTGTGGTATCTGGTGTTCTTCCTCCGACGTGATTCTACTTCCGTATTGCTCCTCCCGTCACATCTCGCCGGTAACCGGCAACATTTGTTTCTAGGATATGGTTCCGCCGAAGAGCCCCTCCGTTCGAGTTATGGTGCTGGACGACATTGGTGAAGTGTGTCTCGGAGACCAGTCCATCTCTCTCACCAAGCACTCGCTGCATTCTCTTAGCCGGACCGATGCCGAACCATTCATTTCCCAGGTTTCGTATCATCGCTTCGGTGCCATGCGCGATGATGCTGCGTTCCGCCTGACGCTTCTCTTTGTGCTATATTATCAGGGTCTAATGGAAGAACTTTTGGACTGATGCCGCTCCGCGTCGGACTACACTAAGGTAACTCCCCTTTCGCTGATGCCCGAGAAGACGATAGAGACAGATAAGACGAGAGCTGTTTGCTGACATCATTTAGCATGGCGCATTTACACGTCATATCAGCATTACATATCCACTTGATTTAATTATAGTGTATGTTAATATCTGTTTTTGCCAAAAAATTTTAATTAGATATATCGACTCGAAATAAGGAGTCGAATAATATATTGTTTCCTTTGGTTATTTGGTTAAATCATTAAATGGTCGGCAGAACGCGGTTCGGGATGCTTCCGTAACGGAGGCAGCCCCCGCGAACGCCTGACGACGTATCGAGACAAGTGCGAATGGACGGCCCTCCGCCCACGTGGCCGCCGACCATTTCGGGAGAGCTCAAGCGGTGTCGGGGCCCACCGTTGGTGTCTCCAGCGGGTGATGATCCGCTGCGCGTCAAACTGGGAGCCCATTGGTGTTTGATGCGCTGTGAGCCGGAGACCACGGGGCTTCATCAAGGCCGTCCATCACGGGGAATCAACCAGAGCTGTGCTTTGCACACCCACAGAAGCAACCGCCGGCGGGTGCGGAAAAGCGTGTTTCTATCCTGGTCACTTGGCGGGGCCCATCAAAACGTGGTGAGTCACACCGAGGCGGGGTGGCATGGGATGCCGGTCGTCGTGGGTACGGAGACCGACCCCAGAACAGGATGACTCGTCCGGTATTTACGAGAACGACGGCGTCTCCGCTGGTTTTCCCGTGTCACCGCCCACCGGTGAGAAGAAGGATGGATTGCGTCGGAACGAGCACCAACAAAAATGTCCGTCACAGGAATCATCACTGTAGCAAACGATGGAGAACACGCTTTAACGGGGATTTCTTTTCCTTCTCGCTTCATCTTTGAAGAAAGGCCTTGGCAGACGCGAAGCAGAGCCCTTGTCTTGCTTCTTTCTTTCGTTTTCTTGCCTTTTTCTTCTCCTTCTTTCTCCCCTTCCTCAAGAAAAGAATCTGAGTGCGGTTACTTGATGGTCTTCCTCGACGATCAGCAGGAAGGAGAAAATAAATGAAGAAAAAGGACCTAACTTTAACAAAAATCGATCCGGAAACCAAAGGAAAAGAGGCATCTTTACAAGCTCTTGGCTGATCCTGTTGTTGCTTCTGCTGCCGAGCCGCCGCTTCTGGGGCTGTAGCCGTAGTAGGAGAGGTACCATCTGACGAACTTCTTCAGGCCGGTCTCTAGGTTGGTGGTCGGCTTGTAGCCCAGCTCGGCCCGCGCCAAGCTGATGTTGGCATGAGTGAACGGGACGTCTCCGTTGCCCGGCATCTCCACCACGTTCTTCTTCGCCTTCACCTTTAGGTGGCGCTCCAGGATGCCCACCAACGCCGGCACCGTCACCGGCGAGGTGTTGCCCAGGTTGTAGATGCGGTACTGCGCCGGGCTCCCCTTCCGGCCGCCGCTCCCGGTGCTCTTCTCCGCGGTGTCGAGGGAGGCGACGCAGCCCTTGACGATGTCGTCGATGAAGGTGAAGTCGCGGGCGAGGTCGACGCGATTCTTGCCGCGGTAAACGGTGATGGGCTTCCCCTGGAGGATGTTGCGGGTGAAGGAGAAGTAGGCCATGTCGGGGCGGCCCCAGGGCCCGTAGACGGTGAAGAAGCGGAGCCCCGTGATGGAGAGGCCGTAGATGTGGTTGTAGGTGTGGGTGATCTCCTCGCCGGCCTTCTTCGTGGCCGCGTACAGGGAGGCCGGTCGGTCGGTGCGGTCCGCCTCCGAGAAGGGCGCCTTCTCGTTGAGGCCGTACACCGACGAGGACGACGCCCAAACCACCGCCGGCTGCGGGTCCGCGGACTTGCACGCCTCCAGCAGCGTGACGAGCCCGGCGATGTTGCTGTGCACGTACGACGCCGGGTTCTCGATGGCGTAGCGCACGCCGGCCTGGGCTGCCAGGTGCATAACGTGGGTGAAGGGCACGACGTCGAAGAGCTTGGCAAGGAGGCGGGCGTCGTCGATGTCCCCTTCCACCACGAACACGCCATGGGATTCCAGAAGCGCCTCGCGGGCCTTCTTCAGCGAGGGATCGTAGTAGCTGTTGAAGTTGTCGAGACCGACCACGCCGTCGCCGCGCTTGCGGAGCGCGAGGGAGACGTGAGTGCCCACGAACCCAGCGGCGCCGGTGACGAGCACGGACATGCCACCGGGGCGACGAACCGTGGCGGAGGCCCGGATCTGCTTCTCCCAGTGCATCCCGCCCCACGATGCGTTGAAGTAGCGGGAGGAGGTGTCGACGAAGCTCTGGAAGCTGAGGTAGGAAGCCGTGAGGGCGATCAAGAACAGCGCCCACAGGAACATGGTGCTCGTGGATGCGAAACACCGGTTGAACTGTCGATTGATCGTGTGCGCCCGCTCGATCTTCACCTTCCCCGGCGTCGAAGGAAACAGCTCAGCTTCCATCAACCTCATCATCTCTTTCCTATTCACTGCTTTTCTTGAATCGATCAATAGCGACAATGTGGATCCAAGATGGCGGTGGGGGAGATGGAGGGGAGTGGCTGGGCAGTGAGGTGTTCGTGCAAATGCCTTGCTGCACCTGCTAAGGAAGCAAGGGCGAATGGGGGAGATATAAATAGGAACTTGGAGGAGCGACCGAAAGCGCGTTAACGCGGTCGAAGGGACGGCCAGACTGTACGCTGTAGAACATAAAAAGGAGAAAATATTGTGTTATCCCTCCTCTTCTCTCTCTTCTTCTTCTCCTCCCTTTTCTCCCTTTCGCAATATATATTATTCCCCCGAAGGAGTACATTCTCCTCCCTTGCAACAATAGCAGGAACGCCTTTTGTTTTACCCCGAGGAATCGGGACCACCATCGATCTCATTCGCTGGCCAGGACACCTCTCCCACCTGGTTCTGTGCCGGGACCCACACTCTTCGTCCATCAACGGTGAGGGTGGCTGAACGGGTTACTAAATTGATAGCCAGTCTGGTGACGTGGTGGATATCTCGTTCTGGCTGTGAGCGGGCGTTAGCCTGTCGCTCGGGAATGGTCCGAATCGCGCTGTGACCAGTCTTTCGCTGCCACGTGAAGAGGGGAGGAGTGGAGTAGCATAAGCGAGGGTAAAAGCGCGGTTTGACGACGGTAGAACCGGTCGCCGCGGGAGGACGAGCGACCGGGAGACGACCGCGGGGGAGCCGTGATAGCGGGGGCCTTGGCTGGGTGCCGCCTTGTCCGATTCCCATTTGCCAGCTGCCCCTGGGCCATGAGCTGTCTTGTGAGCTTTCCCATGTGTGGGCATCGGGAAGAGCGGATGAGCCGTGGAATGCGCGCAGCGGGCAGAAGACAACAGCGTTAGTCTGATTTGGTTCTGTGTGCGGTATGACGCAGAGGATATATGCGCGTGGCCTCATCTTCTTCCTCCACTCAAGTGGACTGCATGGGTAATTACATATTTCTCCAGTGTATTACGTACTTCTAAGAGTTACATTTGACTCTCAATAATTATGAAATTATAATCAATTATTTAATTATTAATAACGTCGTTCAATCGTAGAAAGGCGAGATTGGCTTAGGATGACCCGCGACGGCAGCCAGCAAAGGCCTCTCAAGGCCTTTGCCGAGGGTGCATGAGGAGGAGGTCGTGTAGAGCGGGTGATTTGAGACTGCGATCCGCCTAGTGGAGGGAAAGGGGGCGATTACGGTAGATCCTACAAGCGAGGGCCTCGGCGAAGTATCCTGCAACCTTCAGCATCGGACCGCCTTGGGAAGCGACCGGCAGAGAGATGCGCTTCACGAGGGTGCCTGCCGCTTTGAGGTTCTCCTACCGCATCGCCTCTACGCACGCCAGTAGCACGTGAACCAAACGGGCCCCTTCCTCCTGAGTGTCCACTACCATCGACGACACTGCTGCCGGCTTCGCTGACGTTGCCACCTCCGTCAACGATCTAGTCCGTCCTCTGACCACTCCAACCCATGAAGATGAGGATGAAGAGGAGCAAGTTCTCGACCGGTTCAGATCACTTGGAGGTAGGATCATTTCAGATTGCGCATCCGAACCATAGGCACCACAACCGTTGTCAGCGACAAGAGGAGGAATAGGCCTAAGGTCGTAGGTACCGATTGGGGGCAAGGGAGTGACGGTGGCAATGGTGGGGGGCTCTGCGGTACCGGTAATGAAAACATCGAAATTATGTTAGTTGTTATTGGGTGCCGCACCGATTATTGCAGGTGGGAGAGGTGCAACGCGTTGAGCTCGGATAACATACTGTTGGGCCAAGCTGAGAGGTCGAAGGGGTTGTAGTGGACGGTGTCAGACGTGATTTGGACGAGGAGGGAGGCGTCATTGCTGGCCTCCGTGGCGGTGCACGCCATCGACGCCTCCGGTTGCTGCTGTAGCTTTTGTGCGAGCGCTAATTACATATTATACTCGACGCATATAATTACTTATATTTACTATTTCATAAAAATAATAATTCTAGTGAAATATTTAATCTTATTTTTTTTTACGCTATTGCAATCGATTTTACTAATGGAAGATATCACACATACTATCTCGTACAGAAATAATATTAAAAAAATATTCTCATCGTCGAAGAGATATTAATTTCATAAAAAATTAATTTATGTGAAAGCTTCATTATCTTTTTTTCGGTCTTACTATCCTCTAGGATGATCTGCTTAACGATGATACTAGTGGCAATTCTTATTTTTTACATCGTCTCATTTTTTTTGCTTTGCTATCTTTCCTTCCGACTTCACTATCCTCCCGAATGACCAACCCAACAACAACATCGGTGGTGATCCTCATCTTTTACATCGTCCTTGGACTTCATAGAGATCGAAGGCGGCACTTGAATCGCCTTTAGAATGCAGCGGTTAGTAAAGAGCCAGAGCCACTGACCTTATGCCCTCCATTAATATTATTGTTTGATAATGTTAGTTATATGTGTCCTGCAAATCAATCACGTGAGTAATAACATGTTTATTATTATATTTTTTTAATAATAATAATTATTATTATATTTTTTCTATTTTATATTTGATTATTAATATATTATGATATTCATGGATTTATGCGATGAGAATTGAATTATGATGAGATCATGATAATGAGACTAATTTGCCTATAAATATAGAGGCTAAATATTCACGGTCATAGGTTACTCGAAAAGGATATTGAGATAGCCGGATAGATCGGTGTACTATATACTCATCCATATGATGGAAATAGTCGGTTTCATAGTTGTTTGTGTATAGACACTAGAGATATAGTGTAAGTGCTCATTGGAGAATGAGTTCACTAAATGATCCGCTCACGAAATGTTAGATGATTAATGATACCTCATCGTCAGACAACGGTTCCATAGTCTTAATTATATATCTGGTCCTTAGACTTGAGACACCAAGGATATGAGCATTTCACTCTTTTATATTGGATTTATAGGTATGAAAGTTTCAGAACTAGCATAGTCGGTCATTGAGAGTAATAGCCAACCTTGCGAGAGCAATTGAGTATCAATAGAGAATCAGTCGCTCTAGAGTCATGAAAGGAATGTCTCGTGTGATCTTACTCAAGCAAATTATTGGCTACGGTTATTCAAATTGAGAGATGAGTTCTTTGAGAGAATCCAATTAGAGCGAGACTTAAATAAATTCTGTATGGGTTTGAGAGAACTATGCCCGGTATACGATCTCTAGAATATTAGATGGATGAGAGAATATAAATACATAAGTAACTGATGGTAGATATGTTAAAGGGATTAGATCCCCCTATATCATTTTGGGACTATGACATAGTGGTATAGTACGTCCATAGTTGATGAGTTGAGTAAATTATCATGAGATGATAATTCACTGAATCAGAAGGAATTTTGACAAGTGCAACTTACGACCAACTTGGTATTGGGCCAATAGGATCATGCACGTATAATGGATAATGCAACGAATAGAGTATTGGATATGTGATATCCAATAAGCCATTGTTTTATTAGATCTATTGGGTGAGACCCAATAATAACTTAGAGTAGAGAATTGGATAGAGATTTAATTTCCATTAAGCTAAAGATAATTGGATGAAGATCTAATATCCAATATGCCAGAGTAATTGAATAGAGATCCAGTATCCAATATGACAGAATCCATTAGGATTAGCAACGGGAGCTCTATATAAAAGGGATATAAGACTACTAAAAGTAAAAGGGTTATAAGGCTTGGACCCTTTAGTCGCCAACCCCTATCCTCCTCTCCTTGCTTCTTTCTCAATCGACTGTCCTATCTCTGGTGTGAGATGGCAACAAAAAGGACTGCCCCTGTTGCATGGTGGTAGTGCGTGAAAGCGAGGAAAGAACGCATCGCAAGAAGAGTTATGTTGGTGCTTTATCCGTTGTGTGGATTATTGCTAAAGAGAAAAACATGAGTTTATCCACAGATTGGGATATATGGATCAAGGATATATGAGTTCCCTTAGGTGAGATCGTCTCACATCTTACGCAGTTTTCGATTTCATGAGTTTTTCCCTTTCAATCATCGCACACAATTCGATATAAAATTATTTTTAAAAAACTTAATTTTGTTTTATTTTTTCCGCATAATGCTCTCCCGAGGTTTCCCAACAAATAAGTTGTCTAAGAGGATTGTGAAGCTAAAAGGGATGATAAAGCTAAAAGGAGGATAGTAAAGCTTTTACACAAGCTAGAGGGAGGATACTAAAATTATCTTTTTATTTTTATTTAATATCTTTTTGTATATGATAGTATATGCGGTATCTTCCATAAGTAAAGTCGATGGTGTGAGAAGAAATAAAATTAAATACGATGGTGTGAGAAGAAATAAAATTAAATATTTTACTTTCGTAATATAATTATCGTTGTAACTTTTTAAAGTATAAGGATCGAGATATTAAAAATAACTAATCATATAAGGTAATCTATAATTAGTCCTTTCTATAATTGTCATATCTAACGACTGCACTTTAAAGTTGATGTAGGGTCATTCTAAGCCAATCGTTGAAATAATCATTGTATCCATCCGTTTGATATAAATTCAACGTGATTGCACATATGTGAACACAGCCAATGATTTTTTAGAAATAAAATGATTTATCACGAAGTTCAATATAATTTTTAAAAATATATAAATATTCATATATGAAAAGATATTAAAAAGAGAACTATATTAATAATCCCATATTGACAAATATGGGGGAAGATCCGATAACATATATTCGAGTCTAACCCATAATTAGTAAAATAAAAAAATTTAAATTAAATTAATATTTGACTATATATATATATATATATATATATTAATTTTAACTAATTTAAGTCATTCGTCACACCACATCGAATAAAATGGAGTAACACGTAATCGACCCGACTCCAGGTCTCGTCTGAGGACAATGTTTGGCCACGGTTTGCTCTCCTCTGGTGCACGATGGCTGCACTTACGTTCTCTGCTCTGCTGCTGCCCCCCAAAACAGTGTCACTGACCTCTTGAAACTTCTGTCACCTGAGTCGCTTGGTCATTCGTTTTCTTCTCAGCTCACGTTCATGTTTTCTGCAACTCATTATGCCGACCTCGTCACCTTGAGTTGAACGAGCTTGCTGAATGGCACCATTTCTCTCGCTGACACGTGAGACTCAAGTGCTAGACCTTACGTCACGTGCAACAGGGCCAACCGCTCGCGTCGTGGATCATGGATATATCGAAGCAATAACCGCTCCGATAGCACTCGTCTTTCGTCGCTTTCTCCCAGCCTTTTCCCGTCTCGAAAGTTCAAACATGCCCCGATTCCTCAAGTTCTCCCTCTCTTCCCTCGATCGATCGGGGAACTCCGACGCCGTGATTAGGATCTCGTGCTTGGCGTTAGGGTTTCTTCTTTGGATTTCGCCTCCGGTTCCCTCGCTGGCCGATGAATCTCCGGGAGGTACGGTTTGCTCTCGCCCTTGCTTGCTTCAACTGCTTTATGCGCCCAACCCCATCGGTAAATCCACCTTAGTTTGGAAACTCGACTGTTTCGTTGTCGATCGAGGTATAGTATTAAGTATCATTCCTAAATGAATAATTGGTAGATTAACACCCCGTAACTTGTAACGAATTGAAGGAAGCAATCTGGCCTTTGAATGCTTGCTTCTTCGATTTGGTTTTCTTATAGTTCCGTCAGTTAGATTCCAAGTTTTAGTTGGATACCATTGCTGGTATGTTGGCATGATATCAGATTGGTGTGGTACAGTTGCGTACGGGTGATATCTGAGCTATATATTGTTTTTCTGGAGAACTTAAGCTCCATTGGCTCTGAACATGGTATCCTGTGAAACAGCGAGACTACTTTTAAATGCAACAATGCTGTTTGCATATCAGGAAAATCAAGTGGGATTTTAGAGGTTTATCCATATTGCTTCATGTTGTCGTGATATAGCACATATGCCTGTATCGTGATAAGAGACAAATATGTTTATGCATCATCTGAAGGGTTGTAGAACCTTAAATTCTTGATTTGATGGAACAACTGAAAGCATGAAGATATTTTGATAGACTTGTGTGGAATAGCTAGGCCTGCTTCCACCATGAGTGACTTTTAACCCCAGGGTGAAGAGAAAATAAATAGAAACCTATGAATAATCTGTCACATGCCACTTCTGAATCTATGATCTTGGGAATTACCAAGTGAATTGCTGTTTGCACATATAGACTTCATTTTCATCATCATGTCTTGTGCCCCTTATGCGCCAACATGGTATGACAATGGTCCTGTGTTGACTGACACAAATTAAACATGATGAAGAAGGTCAAGGGCCATCATTCTAGTATCATGCCATGTATCTCCGACTTTGCCTACAATGTCTCAAGAAGTTACTTCAGTAGTGGTTTTGGACTTTCACTAGTTTTGGGAGAAGTGTGTTGTTAAATTATATGATCTTTCTCATGTTTCTAACTATGCCTTTATAACAAATGCTGTTGCAGTATATGGTTGTAAGATGCCCTTACGTAGCGTTGCCTTTGGCTGGCTAGATGATAAGAATGCATTCCAAGCAGGAGACACAGCAACTATTAAGATTAAGATATTGGATGATTCGTGCAGAAGCAGAAACTCCAGTTTTAGCATAGCCCCTATGAATTTTTCACTTATAATTAATGGGAAGAAAGGAAACAGTTCATATATATCAGGTGTTCTTCAGTATCTAGATGGTGATCCTGTTTTTTGGAATATATCTTTTACTCCCATACGGGTAGGACAGTTTCCTGTGGTTATAACTGATGAAAATATTGGCATCCTAGATTCATCTCTCCACTTCACTGTTACGACTGGTATAGTTTAAGCTTCTGCATCAGACTATTTCTTTTTGGTTTTGTCTATATCTCTATGAAGAAAGATAGTGACATCTGCCTATATATACAACTTTGCAAGACTTCAATGAAAGGGTAATATTTCTGCAGTGATTTTATTTTCTGTTGGAAGTACTAGAAAGATACTCCTCACAGAATAGAAACTTGGTTGCTTGAGGTCATAATTACAATTTTCTTCTTGATGAAAGAGAACAGTAATAATTTGATGAGTTGGTGATTGAACATAAACCAATTGTAATTAGTTTTTTGAACAATCACTGAAACACGCATAAATTGCATTTTCAAATTAACCCCATTATATGTATATGATTTGTGGTAACAGATTATCCAATTGTTCACTTATTAATTAATTGTCACTATATTTTTAAGGTCCTGCATGTAATAATCTGAGAATAATACCGTGAAAGAGCTGATGACATGAATGGTAAGTTTACTGTTCATTTGTCATATTTGATATAATTTAAATGTGTGTATGCTCTGTTGATACATTGTAACTCATGTACCTTGTGGCTTAGTGATTATATGTAATTTGATCACAAAAGTAGGATATCTTAAGAAGAACCAGAGCATTGAGCACAATTGCAATACACATGCACACATACAAAAAAAAGTTGCCTTAATGTAAAAAAGCAGCTCTAGTTGCTTATTTTTTATAATGTTTCTTTATTACCTTGTGTTCATTTTCTTGGCTGTATTATCATCATCTCCAACTATCTATATGATTCATAGGTTCCAAGTTGGGTATTGAGAATGCTACATTTATTCATTGAACACAAAGTAACACATCTGATAGAGAAGTTCATTATCTTGATATACAAATATCACCGGATATTTTACAATCCAGTTTTGTCAAATTTGAAATCACATCATATAACATTTTGGAAATTAGTTCAAATTAAATGATCAATATTAAGATTCTTGTTCTGTTTTTTCTCTTCTTTTTAAAATTATTGACAATTAGAAAATTTTAAGGATGAAATCAAACTACTCCAGACTAAACGATTAGAGAATGTAAATTATAATGTCTAATAAGCAAAAATAACTGTAATGTATAATATGCATTATATATTTTCTTCGAATTTTTGAGCCAAATCTAGACAACTCATATGCTTCAACTTTAGGTATTGGCTTTAAGCCCAATCAGAATAGCCTATTTATGGGAAAATTAATGAAAAGTACCCTACAAGAAATACAGAGGAAGAAAAGTAGAACTCAAAAGAGAAATCCATTTTTGACCAGGTCTCAAATGCAGGCCTGTAAATGGACCAGTACTTGACCAATATTTACCAGCACTGCCAAAAGATCAATATTGGTTACTGATCAGTATTTATTCTTTTTTTTTTTTGGTGATACCAAGCATTCTAGGTTGATGTACCGCCTGACATATTGGTACTGTATTGATTTGACCATTTGCGAAACTGGTTTCAGATTGATGTTTAAGCTTTAGCTAACTTGAGTTGCCATTTTTTTCGTTTACTGTCCATCTGGACATGTAGCCTCTAATGTAATTTCAAGACTCTGCTATTTCCACATCCTGTAAAATGCATAAATATTTTAAATAAAATTTATGTTTGATATAACTTCTACAACTTAGATGTATATATGATGTGATATATGATACAGAAGATAGTTACCATTTAATGTCTTTAATAATATCCTTCATATATTAGTTACTCTCTTTGCATTGTTATTTATAGTCTACCAAATTTTCTCAGAAGGGTGAAAACAATGAACTAGTATCGAGGAAAACCCTAGCCTTTTTCTTGTAGTATTAGTACTTTAACAAGCAATATATGCTCATTATGGGATTGCCAACCAACATTAGAACATTCATACCTGATTTGTTTCTGCAGTAAAACTTATTTGGAATTCTTATTTCCAACGGAAACAAGTAAATCTAAGTTTCTCTGTGGCATTGATGAATTATTAAACATGAAAAGTCATATACAACCAAACCAAAATTACTTGAGGCCTGGCCTAACCTAATACAAGTAAATTTAAATATAAGTTACTTCTAGTTTGTTGTTATATTTTCTCTCTAGAATGTACCGAGCCTTCTCCTCCCTCCTTATTGTTGCTTATTTCATTTTTATTTCGTTGGGATAATCCGAAATTTAACATTATTGATATTTTTGTTTAGTAAAATATAAAAGAATAGAAATTCACTTTTTTTTTTCTTTTTTTCACTATTTGAATGAGATTTTTGATCTTGCATGACTTGTAAATTTTACTCTGCAATTCACTTATTTCTAATTAACCACGTTTTTTAAAGGGCATATATATCCACCTGCTTGCATGGTTTCTTGGATGAATTTTGTCACTGAGTTTGTTGCTGGAACAAAAGCATATTTGTTTCTGCTTCTTAAAGATGCATTTGGGAATACTATCTCATCAGAGATTGATGGACCTAGTGGAGATTACTTTATGGTGTCTGCCTCTTGTGAAAATGGATCTACAGCTGATCTGCTTGATGTCAAGTCTAATGGATGGAATGAACTGGGATATTTTGGCATGGAATTTGTTCCCAAGACTGCTGGAAGTCTTTCGTTGCGTGTCCATTGTAATGATCTGACTTTGAGAGGGTCTCCTCTACCATTTATTGTAAAACCAGGTCAGCCACTTCACTTACTCTTGTGTTCCATCTGTATTTTTCTACATTGGAGATGATTTAGGTTATAATGGCTTTGTCATGTGTATTATTCCTGCTTCAGATACATGCATATCTAGACTAAAGGCACTAAATACTTATTGAACCAACTAATCCTTTATATTGATGCCATCTGTTGGTTTATTAAATTGTCAGCTGTTTGTTTATGCATAGTTTGATTATATAAATTTATTTCCAATTATGACAGGATTGATGAATATAACCAGTAGTCAAGGAGAATGGAAGTATAGAACAAATTTTTTCCAGGTGTTCTCGAAGCTGGAAATTTTTATATATCAAAAAGATCAGTTTGGAAACTTAGTTCCAGGTTTCTATCCATTTGATGCTCGGGTGGTTGAGAAGGCTACTAATTTGTCCATCCCTATAGCAGACTTATTCTTTGAAGAGGTTGCACAGGGAACCCAGTTGCTTTCTTTTGTTGTTTCTGAACCTGGTGAATTCATGCTTATCATTTTTGATGCAAAGCTACACGAAAGTATCTGGAACATGACATATGATTTCTCTGTATTTATAGGTTTGTCTTCTTAAGAAGTCTTAAAGATTTTTAGATTTTCCTTTTTTTCTTCTTTTTTTTTGCTTATTGGTCACCACAATTATCATACATGAACTAAAAAAATCAATGATTAAGCATATGCTGCAATTTCTGTTAACTTCTTGAGTTATATAGCTTCTGTTCTTTACTGCTGAGATTTGAGAATGCTCGTGCAAACATCTTAGCATATGTCCTGTGGACATTGTGTTGCTTGAGGTTTCTAGTTAATTCTACCAGCAAATTATTGATTAGATGTTTTAAAATAATGTCGTACTTTGAATTGATTTGTATGCTAACATTAAGATTAAATTTGTTTAACTTTCAGGGAACAATTTTCTCTATAATTTACAGATGCTTATTATTGTTGTTGAATATTTTATTGTGCACAAAATTATTATAGAAAGTGGAAACAAGGTACATATTCTTTCTTTTATTAATATATAATATATTGAATATACTCTAATATTCACTTTCTTAAACTCTTAATGAGATCTCTTGCTACCTTATGATAAATTGATAATAGACCCATTATTCTTCAAAATATTCTACTTTGTGATCAGTATGCTGTCAATTTCTTACTTTCCAAGTTTCATTGAAATGTCTCTGTCGGAATCTTCTTCATCTGGTTGATTTTACATTTGAAAGTGTTTTTGATTGATTATGCATATTTGTAATTTTTCAGTTTAAGGTGTTTAATAATGTCATAGCCAGTAAATTTTCCTTTCCAAGTTCCTGGCTAAAGGCCGGTCACTTCTTGTGTGCAACGTTTAGTTGTTGATGCTTGCAGAATACAGACTTGTTTTGGGTTGTTTTCTAAGTCGTTATTTTCATAAACATATTATTGGTATAAAAATTGATGTTTTTGTGTTTCCTTAGGTTATTGTCATGAATCAAACAGTTTTGCAAATGGGTCTGGTTTAGCAAGCTCTGTTGCTGGTAAGATATCAAGCTTTACAGTTTATTTGGAGGACCTGTATCATAATCCATCTCCAGTTGAGGCAGAAACGATACGTGTGGAAATCTTAACTGAAAATGGTACTTCTAATGTTCTACCAATTATATTCCCTTTGCAGACTCTTATTGGTAAGAATTTGAGATACTTTTTCTCGTAGTGCCTTTCCATTGTTATTTTTAATTATGTATTTTAGTCAGAATGAATATGTAACAGAGCATAGCAATGTTGCTCATCAGTCTGATGGATCTGCTAGATGGGCTCCTGCATTGCCAGCAAATGACAATCACACTGTAAGAGTTCCATATTTGAGTAGCTTAGTTGATATATTCATTAAGGACTAAACTCATTTGCCTTTCTTAGATTATTGGGAATTCAACAGCACGAGTTAGTGATTTTAATGTTACCTATACTCCAGAGAAATCTGGTGACTACAAAATATGGATATCCTGTGGAAATATTCCTGTAAATGATGGCAATCTTTATATGATGAAGGCATCTCCAGGTAATTTAACATTCATTATTATGTGCATAGTTTGCTGTCCATAAACCCGTATAAATCTATAGGCCCTTCTTTTTCTTAGCGCTTTAATTGACAAATTTTCATGAATCATGCAATATAATTGTATTCTACCATAACCAAAATAACTATTGTCATACAAACTCTTGCTAGATGATTTTTTTATCAAAAAAAAAAATGCTGTACTAATATTTTGGAAGTCTACAAATAGAGCCGTGAAGGTCATTCAAAATTTTTAAAAGAGAAGAACATCTATTCTCCTTCCAAAACCATCAACTCTACCTAATCTGCCCTACTTTCTAGCCCAATTTACTGCTTGATTACATTTCGTAGAGTTATAAGGGAAAGCAAACATTACAAAATTCTTGCTGAAAGCCCGTATATCAGCCAAAATGTTCCTAATGGATCGTGAAATAAACACCTTATTCAAAATCATATTTTTCAACACTAGGAGTCTGTCTCAAGCACCACATTACTAAATTCTTCCTTCCAAGCAGTGAGTAATCCTTCCCTGGCAGCAAGTGCTTCACATTAAAGAGCTGATTTTTGCTTGACCACTTTAAGGCCTCCCATCCTGTGGGACCCAGTGGCATCTAGAGGGATGTATCCTAGCCCTCCATCCTGTTGCAAAACAGATCCATCAGTATTAATTTTTATCCACTCAGGTGGATTTGTCCGGCTAACATTTGCAGGAGTTCCCTTCACTTTCCCTTCAGATTCATGGAATCTAGAATAGTCACTCATATTGAATAAAGTATGCTCACAAATACTTTTTAAATTAGGCCTACCTACAGAAAAAAAATTATTATTTATGGCCTTCCAGAAAATCCAAAACATATTTGTAATTGAGTCTCATTGGATAACTTCACTTCTTTGTCTGGTTTAAACAGTAGGAGTATAATTACTAAATAATAATTTTTTCATTGTAATCCTAATTATTTGGTTGATAAAATTGTGAATATTTAGGCTTAATACTGGTTGTTCCGAATTTATTTTATTTAAAGAACATTAGCAACAAGTCTTAGCATTATCTGGTTTTAATGGTCTTCAATATTTAAATCTAATTCATATTGAACTAAGACTTTTATTAAATATTGTTTATTTAACCAACATGAAGTAATTATTTGCTCATATTATTCAGGTTTGGTTGATACGTCATTATCAAGTGTTTTGCGTTTTGCATCTGATGTTAAAAGACATGCTAAAAATGAAGTTTTAGTGCAAATTGTGGACTCCTATTGGAATCCTGTTTCATCAAAGCAGACAAAATTGAATTTACAAGTGTATTCTGTGAATAGTTCAAGTTTCATTAAATGGGATTTTCTGAACAATGAAGATGGATCATACACTGGTTACTACATGGCAAGAGATCTTGGTTCTTATAATATATGTATCTTGTTTGAGGAGAAGCATTTGTCTCCTTGTCCCTTTGAGGTTCACGTGTATGGAAGTAAGTATTGGATAAGTTACTGTATGTGTTGAATTTATGGTGACAAATTTTGTTTGAATGAAAATGATTACTTTTTGTCTGTCATAGTTTCATCGTTTTCTTGTAACACATTATTAGACCAATAATCTTTTTGTTCATATATTAAGCAGGCTGTAATAACTCAAAATTTGTTGTTCTACTTAATGACTCCATATATTTTGTGATCTCTTTTGTCGTTTTTCTACCATCAACTATAAATAATTAGCATCTTGCATTGAGATATATATATCAGATACTGCATCTGCAGAACAATTGACACTAATTTTCATAATATCGTCAACATAGTGGATAATGATTATGAAACAGATCATGAATTAAATAGTCCATCGGTAGTTGACATTTATATTTTTGTTATGAAAATGCAGACCTTTATTTACCTTAGTAGGTGACATAATGATAACTCAGGTTGGATGTTGGGAGCATGCCAGATCATGGTATGCAGTGAGGATGAGAAAAGGGCCTACCTGGAAATATGTTTGAATACGATAGTATAAAATTTACTTTTGAAAAAGAACTAGTATGTATCAATTGTTTTCTAGTTAGGGCTTAGGAACTACCAGATGTAATTGGTTGTCAGTGTCAACAATATATTTAATTATTAATGTTGTAACTTACATAAAAAAGCTTGTTATGTTTGAGTTCATGTTCTTAAATTATGTAGCTATCTCATACTACTAAACCTGTGATATCTTCATTCTTGGTTAGGGGAATAACTACCTCAGAACTTTACAATGACATGTGTAATTAAAGTTGCTATATTCGAAGACATCTGTATATGTGACATCTGATTACTGCTAGAAGAATGTAAAAAAGCTATATTTTGACAATGATTGAGCAGTTAGGTTTATCTATGTTCTGGATTTTTGGAACTTGCTCTTGACTTCCAACATTTACATGTAAGTATGGATTGTTCTCTGATGTGATCTGTTGTTATCCATGCTTGTTTGGAAATGTTTGATAAGAATTTGAGAGAAATTATCAATCTATGTTGATCTGCTGTTACCTGTGCTTTTCTTGTGACTGTATCTTCTTTTTTCTTTTTTCTTTTTGCAGGAGAGTATTTTTCTGAGGTCACCAATGATAGCATCTATGTCTGGGAGGATGAATCACTTGCTTTGGATGTCCTTGTGAATGATTATATTGCAGGTGGAAAATTTAATATAATTGAATTCTCAATAGTAAGATTTTAAATCTCTAGCTGCTCATTTCATGCTTATCAGTCAATTTGAATTACTTTTCTAATATTTACGTTTGCCATGTCATAGACATTTTCTATTTGTAACTAAAAAAACATGTATTCTGGTGTTAGGACACATCCAACTTAGCATCTAAACAGATGGCAACTTGCGAAACTGACTGTTTTCCATGTTAATGTGATGATCCAGTTCCTATGTCAAAAGTTAAACCCAGTGCCCTAAGTTTGGAAGAACAGACTATACCACTGCACAACTTGCCCTTCTCCTCTTGGGTTCACTTTTCATTTTTTTTCTTTTTCCTCTTTTGCCTTCCATCCTCTGACCTGCATCTAAATCCATACTCACCCATGTTGGGAAATCATTGGGGGGGCGACAT